AAGAATAGACAAGAATGTTACCTTTATAAATAACAGACATTGAAAAACTAAGCGCACAAAGAACTACGCTTATAACTGAAGCAAGAGCAATACGAAACCCTTAAAACGAAACTAGGGGTTAACTATTTCAGGTGCTCCAGAAGGGTAAGCAGATTCTGCTCCACATGTTGCACCCGTCGTGTTGCTTATGTAAGTACAAACCCAATAACTATAATTCGTTAGGTCACATTCGAGGAAAAGAGGACGGGATTGTGGTTACGACAATTTGAACATATCCGTTTTCATCTGTGAAACATATATTCCATAACGGTCATCCAACTCGTGATGGCGTCCATACAATTTTCGAAGAGATGATTTCAACTTCGCCACTTGGAACTCTTGGTTTAATAGCTTCCTTGTAAGCACCAACCCTCTATCAAAATAATGCAAGCTCTTGAATATCAACTGGGCGAAATATACTCAATATGCATGTGCTGATGGAATGTTGCTACAAAGAAATGGAATTTCAAAGTTCACAATTGGGAAGCTGAAATCATCTCTTTTGTCGTTAAGTTTTGTGCCCAACCGTACCGTATCGTCAATTTCTTGATGTAAGTCAGGATATGAGGCAGACTTGACTGTATCTGTTGTATCCTTTATTTCAAGTTTGATGGGATAGATGCGTTCAACATATTCAATAATCTTTGAATTATTTAGTGAGATGACATCATCTATATAGCGGAACGTGAAGATAAACAATAATGCAAGTTTCTTTTCATTCTTTCGAAGAATCGCCTGTGTGACGTCAGCCTCAAATGAATAAAGGAACAAGCCGGTAAGAAGAAGAGGAAAGAGACTTAGATTTTATGAATTCTAACAGATTTTTGGAATTTTTAGGTATCCAGATCTGATAAGGTAGTTTCGCAATAACTTTGAAGCCCGGCTTTGGTTGCTGATAACACAATGTTAACAATTTAGAAATAGGTTTGGTGGAGCACTTGGAATATTATTGCTTGTAAGGACACTTACGTAAATTAGGTATCCAATACAGTAAAGAAAGATCCAATTCTTCATCTTTAGTTGAAATTCCAAAGGAACATAGAGCAGATCTATGATTAATTAGAATTCCCTCCTTGGTAAGTGTCGTGGGGGTATGTGATTGTGTTGAGTTTCCAAGTGAATTTTCAATACCTATTCTTTTATTCAGCAGTTTATGTAATAATGTGCTTTGCACTTAAAAACGATGTTGTTTGGGTCTTTATACTGTTTTGAAAACCTTATTGAACCCACTTCTTTCATTTGAAGTTGTCAGGGCAATTCTAGTCGGATATATGGCCTTCACTCGCCAATTGTACCTATACAAGGATCATTTAAAGACATTTCCTCCAAAAATAGACTGTGTTTATAGATATCGATGGTTTTTAGAATATACCTAAGACTTTGTTTTTTTCCAATTTATTTGGAAAAGAGACAAAAATTGGACGTTTGTTGAAATTCCATTAGATTAAATAACTAACCCTGACTCAATTTATGTATATTGATGCTGAATCTTGGATTTGTTTCTTCTATTACGTTTCTCGTTAGCAAGATTTCGAAGATGTCGGTACGCGCCCGTCATCATAACAACATAACAGATGTTCCCATTTAAGTTTCGAGTTTTTCAAGTAAAATTTTAAACCCATGACTAACTGTTTGCACCTACAATAATTTATTTCATATTTACAGTTTGACAACTCAAAATCAAAAACCCTCCTGTTAAATTGAAGTTAATGTAGTTGCTATGAGAACGTCTTTTATTTCAACATAAAACCCAATGTATCAGGATACAATAGTTTATATGTAAATCATAAATTAGCATATAATTTTTATTCTGTTTGTGGTTGCATCCGTGATGAATATTCCTCACATTTTCTTGTATTCCCATTGCTCAAGGCTGTCCCAGTAACACTTGTCGTATATCACTCGATCAAGGCTGTCCCAGTAACACGTGTCGTATATCACACGATCAAGGCTGTCTAGAAACACGTGTCGTATATCACATGATCAAGGTTGTCCAAGTAACACGTGTCGTATATCACATGATCAAGGCTGTCCCAGAAACACGTGTCGTATATCGCATGATCAAGGCTGTCCCAGAAACACGTGTCGTATATCACATGATCAAGGCTGTCCCAGAAACACGTGTCGTAGATCGCATGATCAAGGCTGTCCCTAAAACACGTGTCTTATATCACATGATCAAGGCTGTCCCAGAAACACGTGTCGTATATCGCATGATCAAGGCTGTCCCAGAAACACGTGTCGTATATCACATGATCAAGGCTGTCCCAGAAACACGTGTCGTATATCGCATGATCAAGGCTGTCCCTAAAACACGTGTCTTATATCACATGATCAAGGCTGTCCCAGAAACACGTGTCTTATATCACATGATCAAGGCTGTCCCAGAAACACGTGTCGTATATCACATGATCAAGGCTGTCCCAGTAACACGGGTCGTATATCACATGATCAAGGCTGTCACAGAAACACGTGTCGTATATCACATGATCAAGGCTGTCCCAGAAACACGTGTCGTATATTGCATGATCAAGACTGTCCCAGAAACACGTGTCGTATATCGCATGATCAAGGCTGTCCCAGAAACACGTGTCGTATATCACATGATCAAGGCTGTCCCAGAAACACGTGTCGTATATCGCATGATCAAGGCTGTCCCTAAAACACGTGTCGTATATCACATGATCAAGGCTGTCCCAGAAACACGTGTCGTATATCACATGATCAAGGCTGTCCCAGAAACACGTGTCGTATATCACATGATCAAGGCTGTCCCAGAAACACGTGTCGTATATCACATATTTTTTATATATACGCATTATACATTTTTTTTTATTTCAGTGTTGAGTGTCAATCTATTGTAATTTATTATCCTTATTCATTGTAATATAAATCAATTTCATAACTATATTTTAACATTTTGGTCTTGTATATGAATATGTAAAAGGCAATGTAGTGTGTAGGTCAATGAGACGACAATCCAACAATGACATAGAATTAAAATGTTCAACAAATATAGCGTGTATAAACAAGTGTAAAATGTATATATTTCAGTGTGTTTTGTGAATAATGATGGGTATGCAAGTATTCGATTTTTTTAATCAAATGCTGTCTTCCTAATTTTAACTATTTTCCGGACCTTTTTTTCACATCATCCATCCCCCTTTTTTTCTGTTTCTACAAATAACGAATTGGACTTGGATGGAATTTCTATTTTTATGCTAAGCATGCCTCACCTCAGAAGTCAGTGCTTCGGTATTGACATGATTAAGAACAGACGTTCCTTCAATTATCTGATGATAAATTATAAAATTAATTAGAAGCTAAAGTTCCGACTCCCTCAACAAAGTTGAACACAGGGGAATTAAACTTTTGTTTTGGTCTTCCTTTTAGTCATATATCTCTTCACGTGTTCAGGTATATTTAAATCATAGACATTGAAATGGAAGAAGGCTTCGGGGGTTCGAATGAAAGTAAAAAGACTAACACAAAGATAATATTCTTAATCTGACAGATACAAATTCTTAAATTAAAAAATCACGGACACTAACTTTCCTGTTCATGATTTAGTTAGAACAAAAATGAGCTGGACATATATGTTTATTCAGAAATACTAATACAATGGGAGTACAGGCAGATAGGGTGCCAATTTATATCAAATTTATGAATTTGTTAGATTTATGTTTATGTTTGGTTTAATTTTTATTTACCCTTATTCGTCATTCCGTCATTCTGTCATTCCGTCATTTCGCAACGAATAGTTAAACGGACTTTTTTCTAAACGCCTTCACATATTGAGCTAGTTTTAAGTATGTGAGTCTACTATGATGAGTTACAGATCGAGTTTACGTTTTGTTCCGCTCTACTGACTTTTACCGAAACAAATGGCGTTAGACTTCGAACATTTTGTGAAAATAACAGTTATACTAACTTTTTTTCTAAACGCCTTAACATATTAAGCTGATTTTTAAATGTGAGTCTACTAAGGTGAGTTACAGATCGAGTTTACATTTGGTTCTGTTCCGCTGATTTTTATTGAAATTACCGGCTACGGACTATGAAAATTTTAAAAAATAAGTTATATCGACTTTTTTCTAAACGCCTTCACATATTGAGTTGTTTTTTAGTATGTGAGTCTACTGTGATGAGTTAAAACAGATTGAGATTACGTCTGGTTCCGCTCCACTGAATTGGGCCGAAATTACAGTTAAACGGAGTTTAATTCTAACATTTCTACTCCTAAAAATGGCTTCAATGCTTTTTTTGCGAGTGGGTCATTCGTGTCGTTCCGACACATCTAGTTAAATATGTTGTGTTGTATGTCTGTGATGTATGTTTCCACAGTTTTGGCTGCTGGATCCCACTTATTGCAACATTAACCTATTATGTCTGTTTTGGTTGCTCACCCAATTTGTCAATATAACGAAACTATAAACAACTGCCGCATACAAGTGGGAGGTTTAGTTAGCTATAAAATCCGGTTTGACCCACCATATTCTTCGTAAAATGTCTGTACCAAGTCGGGGATAGTTATTTTCCATTCGTTCAGTTGGTTGATAAAGTCTAACGTTTGATTTTGTCAGTTTTTTTTATGGATAACCCCTTTTTGAATTTAAGTAGAGTTCGGAATTTTTGTTTATACTTTTTTGATGAAAGATGCAACACCGTATGTACGCTAAAACGTTGACGAATATTTATGGTATAAATGCATTTTCAGGCCAATTACCTGGAGCATGTTAATTCTCAAGCATTCGTATAAATAAAACAATAAATCCTTACAATAATAACTGTGTTCAGAGATCTGTGGAATATTATTTGATGAATAATATTTATAACGTTTTATAAAAGATATCACTTGTGATTGAAACAGCGTAAATCCTAACTGAAGGACACCGTATGTATGACTGCACTTCACACTAGGCAGTAACCAATGAGAATAACAATACGTTGTTAGTTTCTGTAACATGGTTCATATATGGCCGCGGGACAACAACATTTAGCGTTGTTAACTTCCCCGTAATCCATTATTTTCCATGTATTATCAATTAAAGACCAGGCCAGAACACTAAAAAAAAGTTTGGATGTTATGTTCCTAAATAACCTCCATATTAGTTATGGAGGAAGGAGACTCTAGTGGCATCTGATCATGGGACTTATCTTCCATGCGTTCATTCTAATGCAGATTTGTGTACGGATACATTCGTTCCCATTCTCTAAGGTAAGTCTTAAGAGTTATTAATTTGTCCATAAACAGGCCATATAGATATTATAATTGTTTGTTTATCATGCCCTCCAACCATTCTGTCAGGACAGATATTACATAACTTTACATGATTTACTAATATCTCATTTATAAAAATATTATAGTAACATGTAAAATGATTATTCCCAGAAACCTTAGCTATAACACAATGTAATCCAGAAAAGTGGGGTTGGACTTCATTTCTACGCTTATGCTTGATTACGTAAAAATGACAAAATTAGACTGGAGCCCCCTTTTTTCATGGAACTCACAAAAACCCGAACTCCCTTTTCAAAAAAGATCTTGAATTTCGACAGTAATTTAGTCATTATAGTGTATTTACTGTTAAATAATTATTTATATCAGTTTTGAATTTGAATGAACGTTTACAGTGAATTAGAAAAAAATCTTATTTTAATTTGCCATTAACTGTAAAAAATTGATATATTACATTTCAATATTAAATGAATGTTTTATATAACTGTTGTTTAATAGATCTTATGTCCTCCTAAAGGCAATACTGAATAAATTCTAATCATGATTTGTATTGCATTTGGGAGATAGGATGTGTTTATTTTATAATTAGTTTTTTACTTTGTCATTTTAACAAAACAATATTTTTTGGAAATTTTATTTTAACGAACAAGAGTATAGGACAACACAAACTTATGTGTATTCTATTTAAGCTAAAAGTAAAAAAAATAAATAAAAAAAAGACAAAATAGAACAATCAACTAAGAATTAGTATATATATATATATATAAGACATTTAGGGAAACAAGGAGAATGAGTTTTTTTAAGGCAAGCAGGATGTCACAAATCTCGGAAATTTATTATAACGTGATATCTTTCAATTGGATATTTTTTATTTTAATAAAACTACGGAGATGATGTATAATTGCCAAAGAGACAACTATACACCAGATTTCAAATGCGGAGTATGTAAACAACTATAGACCACCATAAAGCCTTCAACAATGAACAAAACCCACACTGTATAGTTAGGTATAAAAGGCCCAAACATGGCAAAATGTGAACTAGTTCAAACGAAAAACTAATGGCCTGATTGTTGTACAAAACAAAAAAACGAAAAATATATATGACAGACAGCAACAAACGACAACCTTTGAACTACATGTTCTTGACTGTTTATTACAACCTGCAAATGCTAGCGGTAGCGAGAAGAATAAAGTGTTAAGTGTGTTTTCTTTTGTGGTTTAAATGTTTGTTTTCTTTGCTCTACTAATATAGCAATTTGTTCTCGTTTGTTTTTGCTTATGTATTATTTAATCATAAAGAAAACTGAACAAAATCATAATGATTAAAATGTATCCAGTAAGAAACTCAATAAGTATTTTTTCTTACTCTTACTATTCTTTTCTTTTTTAACCATACGATTATACGTGTATTGAAAATTTGGTGTTTTTTTATATTATTTTGATGTTTGAGAAAAGATGACTGTCAAAAAATATACGACTGTCACTGTCGATGCAAGCTCCTGTGTTTCAAGGGTCATTTGGAAACCATTTTGTGTTATTAACATTAGAAAATATTGAAAAATATTCAGATTATATATAAATAAGAAGATGTGGTATGAGTGCCAATGAGACAACCCTCCATCCAAGTCAAAATGTATAAAAAAATAAACAATTATAGGTCAAAGTACGGTCTTCAACACGAAGCCGTATGAATTTGTATAGTATGATTTGAAGAAAGAAAAAGAATTTAAGGATCTGTTCCAAACTGTAATATTTGCGTAGACTATTTATTTCTCTGACAATAAGGAAAGCTGAATATTTCTGTATTATGACTATAAAGAGATACGTTATTTTCTTAGACAGACAACATTTTTAAAAAATCGCCGACCTTAAACAATAACATTTCCTTAAGAAACTAAAAGTATTCAAATTATTGCATATACATGTAATTATAAATAAGTATAGATTATCGGGTTTTCTGCACATTGATATCGTTAAATTACAGCCACGAGCTACAATAAGAACCTTTTTGGCGAGTGAGCGCTTTTTCTGGTATTTTCCTGCACCCATAGACAGTTTTACGCTTGATAATGTCTCCTCACACATTGTAACGTCGCTGAAAACTTCTCCTCACACATTGTGACGAATAGTATAGCTGATAAGTTCTGCTAATGTCCCAAAGTGATGATACGAAAATTACGGAGCGACTGAGCAGGGGGATAAACCTTAATATTCTGGCTTAACTGTCTTTTTTTTTTATCTGTATAGACAAGTTTCGCGGCTGACGAGAAAGCAAAAACGAATCACCAATGCTCAGATGCAAAATTAGTAATCTGAAATAATAGGAAAAAAAAACTCATTCGGTTTGTTGTTTACTCAGACTTATTGCTATTGTATCATCTTTTAATCTTTTTAAAAGTGCAATAAGAAAAACTTTTTTACAGCCCTTTTACAGTTCTAAAGCACAACCGTTTTAAAATGCAATAAAAAGCATAGCCCTTTTACAGTTCTATAGCACAACCGTTTTACAGTTCTATAGCACAATCGTTTTACAGTGCAATAAGATAAACCTTCTTACAATGCTATAACACAACCCTTTAAGGTACTATAGCCAAAACTTTAACAGTGCTGTAGAACTTTTTCACGGTGCTTTAAGTGTGACTATTTTACAGTATTTAAAGCATAATCCTTTTGAAGGACTTTTACTCAACCTTTTTATAGTGCTGTGAAACATTTTACTGTGCTTAAAGCACAACCGTTTTATAGTGCCAGGCACCCTTTTTACATAGTGCTATGACATAACATTTTTACAGTGACATATCAAACCCATTTGTAAAGCGTGGTGTTGGAACCTTTTTAGTGTGTTGTAACATAAACTTTACCATCTTCACAACCTTCGCACAGTGTCAAGCAACCCCTTTACAGTGCCGTAGCACCTCATTTTTCAGTGTTTTAAGCAAATCTTTAACAGTGCTATAGTAGCATCAGTATACAGTTCTTATGTGTTATCTTTGCACCTTGTTACTTACTTTGTTGTGCATATTGTGACTGGAATAATGCAAATATGTAAAAATGTGTATGTACTGAAAGATAAGACAATACATCGCATTTATTTGTTACAACGTTTTTACGTTGATGAATTTACATCTGACTTCACTAAAATTTATAAAAGTTTACCATAAATTCTTATGAATTATAAGTGAACTGTAAAGCGTTAACCTGAACGTTATACATCAGTCTATGAATGCAAATAATCCGTGACTCACTTCTGTACTTATTCTTACTTATCTGAAAGGACGTATGATCATATATCACCTAATATTATAGTTGTACACTTCAAAGAATTATTATAATAATCACGATTTAAAGAATTTCATTCATCCATGAAAAATAAAATTCCATCAAATTATCATTTTGCCTTACAGGGTTTTCACAAGCAGAACGAAGATACCTCCTGTCAGAAACCTCTCGGGTTGACATATTTATCAAAGCGCCACTTAGTAAGATATGTTGTCAGTGCCACCGAAGGTAATGCCACCAACACCAGACTACATAGTCCCACATCCTGGTATGCCACAGGACTAGGTAGCTCCACATTTGTACAGGTAAATAATAAAAAAAACCCGACCGTTATTGAAAGTGATACAAGAATCCACCGGAGTGGGAAGGGCAAAACTTGCACCGTCAAATATGAAAAAGGGCAGTAAAATTGAAAAAGCTACCATCAACGATGCCACCGGATGTTAAAGCAATATCTCTAAAGGTAGAAAAAAACGCTGTGAATTCAAAACTGGACAAAGCAAACAATTAGGAGGTCAAAATTACAATGTTGCCATCAGTAATACTATCGAGGTAGTAGACACAGCCACATTTAAACAGTAATGAAATGTTAGGTTGATATTTGAATGTGTGTACACGTGCATTTCCTTTATGTAAGCAAATGCAAATGCAGAATATACGATTACTAGAGGAAAGAAACAGCCGTTTAAATATATACTTTAGTGCACAAGTTAAAAGGATTGCATGGTTGTAGTGAGCTAACGACACATTTTTTTTTACCTATAAACGATGCTTGACTTGAACTATAAATCATCACATGTGTCTATTAATGGGCCATCATCTGTTTATCACCTTACTGACAACTATATGTTATAGTTTTTATGAATCAAAATACGTCATACAGGTGGAAATTTTCATTTGTTTTAAGAAATTATCATTTGTTTTAAACAAAGAAACTGCTCTAACATTTATAAAACCTGTATCGTTTCATTCAATTTTTATCAAACTTGCCCTTTCAAGGTTGATGGGGTAGGTCTCAAGTACCAATAATAGTATAATTTTATTGTTTATTTTATGTTATTTTTAAAATTATAAATAATAAAAGGGCCACGGAGCACTTTTTTCAAGCTACAGGTTGTGCAAAACTGTCAGATTTTGTAAGGATTATACATTGAAAAACACTTTTGTGTGAATAGACAAAAAACTTAAAAATAAAAAAATACTTTCGAAAATAGCTCTTACAATGTGTTTTCAGAAATAGAAATAAAAACTGGGGTCACCGTACTCGTTTTTTTGCGGCAAACCGAAAGGATAATTTACTGTACATTCCTTTATGAAATAAAATTCTCTGCGTTACCTTCCCTTATATTGCTTAGTTGGAAAAAAGAATTGAATCAAACAAAATATATTGTGTTAAAACAGTAGAAAAATAAGAAAAAAACATATAATTTTCATTATTTAAATGAACAGATTTGCAAACAAAATGCATTCCTGTTAAAACTTTTTGCATTTTTTAAAAAGATCTTAACCGATTGTTCTCAACTTATTTACTATCAACGATGGCGGAAAACCCCCAATCTACCTTAATAATAGGTGACGATTATAATTAATATTGAAAGTTGTTCAACCAAATATTTTCCTACGAAGAAGTTGTTTGCCTTTACAAAAATTTTTATTTTTTTAATGTCGGAAATTTGAAAACCAACTATTCACCGTGGTGCCGAAACTTTCTATTACCCTGTTCATTACATAATATTTTAGAACGCGTCCAAATTTCTGAACCGTTATTTTACTTTTTGAGTTTCAAAAATATCTTTTTAGGTCTAATATCCGCATGGTTTAAATGTAGATCAAAGAAGATGTGTTTTTGAATGCATGTGTTAGGGGACGATCATTTGCTTCTGAGGTTGATGGAGATTTTAGAAATAAATATTCTGGCACCCATTAATTTGGAAATAAATAATCTTGTCACATCACACATGAAAATAAAAATCCTGGCCCAAAAATATTCTATATATTTGGCTCGCTTCGCTCGCTTCATTTACAAAAACATACACTAGTTAAAGATAATCCAGAATAGAGCATCGGTTGCATATCATTCATAAAGTGTTATTTTCAATTTTTATTACAGAAATATTGTCAGTGGTTGATTCATGAGAGCGTACGTCGATCACCTTTTGACCGGACAAATATATTTTCTTATAAATCGCCAAAAAAATATATTTGCCTCGCTGCGCTCGGCACAATTTTTATCCTATTTGAAAATTACATTCCTCTTTCCTAACCGTGGATCCACCCCTCATTGTTATGCTGTGAAATTTTCATATTTCAATAGAATCAAATTTCAAGACTTCATTTTGACTGCTCAGTTTGTATTAAGTGGTATATGTATTCTACCAAAAAAATGACCCTTATCACAAAAGGTCTACAGTTTTGTGTCATTTTTTGGACTAGAGGAAACTTCGTATTCTAGGCCTGGTCTGAGTGAAAATATATAATTTGGCCGCCTTTAAGTTGAAAATAGATCTTCTACCCTCAAATTTGCCAGGAGTCTCCCTCAGAATTAAAACATCGTCCCCTTATAAGAGTTGTGTATGAACACATATTAATAAATCGTAAATAAGTGAATTTATACCTGGATGTGTTAATTCTAAGACAAGCATTGCTTTATGTAGCTAACCCGTTTAAGTCATTCATAAGTTATATTTTGAATCCCAATACCACTCAGGGGAAAATCCATTTGGAATAGTTGCACCATTAAGGGTAATTGTTAACAACAATAAAATTTTAATAAACAGTTCTATTAGGAAAAATATAAATCTCTGTTCAAATTTTCTAACATGATCCTTAATAGTAAATGGTTGACATAATGATGGAATTACGCAACAGGCGTTGAATGGTTGCTTTGGTTTTTTTTTATGTGCTAGGATTGATATTGATATTATCCTTTATTTTTCTTTCCTTCAATTTTCGCACCAAAAATTGAAACTTGATTTGTCTGTACCTATTTCCATTAATTCATGTAGCATGCGAATAGGCTATTCTGAGTTATTTGATTAATTCAAATCTGAATCGACCTAGAAAATTACTTAATACTAAAAGCGTACAGGACTTTTGTGTCACGTTTTTTCAAGTCTAGCGCACAAAAAACTTCAGAGATCATGTCTTCTGCTGTAGGATATTCTATATTAAGTGAGATCACGTTGAAAGTCATACTACCTTATATATAATGATGTCAAAGTCTTGTAAAAAGTATAAAAAGTACAAGTTCGTCACATTGCTGAACTCTGGAAATTCATGAATTGTTTTGCTTTGGATACGGATGTATGTTCTTTGTTCTGCATTTTCATGTTTTTTTTCTTTAAAACAATATTTGCTATTGATATCAAAGTCGAAATTTAAAAAGTTATTAGACCAAATTTGTTCATATTGATCCAATTGTTTTTATGGTAAACGTTTTCTTAATCTGAATAAATAAAAGGAGATGTGAACATGAGATGATAACCCAACGACACAATTAATAAGAAATGGCATCCAGAGTGATAGGGCAGCATACATTCTCCAGAGTGATAGGGAAGCATACATTCTCCAGAGTGATAGGGCAGCATACATTCTCCAACAGTAAAGTCTATACAATACGTCAGGCTTGATAAGAAATGGCATCCAGAGTGATAGGGCAGCATACATTCTCCAGAGTGATAGGGCAGCATACATTCTCCAACAGTAAAGTCTATACAATACGTCAGGCTTGATAAGAAATGACATCCAGAGTGATAGGGCAGCATACATTCTCCAGAGTGATAGGGCAGCATACATTCTCCAACAGTAAAGTCTATACAATACGTCAGGCTTGATAAGATATGGCATCCAGAGTGATAGGGCAGCATACATTCTCCTACAGTAAAGTCTATACAATACGTCAGGCTTGATAAGATATGGCATCCAGAGTTATAGGGCAGCATACATTCTCCAACAGTAAAGTCTATACAATACGTCAGGCTTGATAAGATATGGCATCCGGAGTGATAGGGCAGTATACATTCTCCAACAGTAAAGTCTATACAATACGTCAGGCTTGATAAGATATGGCATCCAGAGTGATAGGGCAGCATACATTCTCCAACAGTAAAGTCTATACAATACGTCAGGCTTGATCAGATATGGCATCCAGAGTGATAGGGCAGCATACATTCTCCAACAGTAAAGACTATACAATACGTCAGGCTTGATAAGATATGGCATCCAGAGTGATAGGGCAGCATACATTCTCCAACAGTAAAGTCTATACAATACGTCAGGCTTGATAAGAAATGCCATCCAGAGTGATAGGGCAGCATACATTCTCCAACAGTAACGTCTATACAATACGTCAGGCTTGATAAGATATGGTATCCAGAGTGATAGGGCAGCATTCATTCTCCAACAGTAAAGTCTATACAATATGTCGGGCTTTAAATCGTATCGAGTTAAACAAAATTTTGTAAATAGATTAAACAGGAGCTACCAAAGATCTACCTTACACACCAAAGATCTATACCAAAGATCTACCTCACACACCAACGATCTATACCAACGATCTATACCAAAGATCTACCTTACACACCAAAGATCTATACCAAGATCTACCTTACACACCAAAGATCTATACCAAAGATCTACCTTACATACCAAAGATCTATACCAAAGATCTACCTTACATACCAAAGATCTATACCAAAGATCTACCTTACATACCAAAGATCTACCTTACATACCAAAGATCTACACCAAAGATCTACCTTACATCTACCTTACATATCAAAGATCTACCTTACATCTACCTTACATACCAAAGATCTACCTTACATCTACCTTACATACCAAAGATCTACCTTACATCTACCTTACATCTACCTTACATACCAAAGATCTACCTTACATACCGTGGCCAAATTTCACAAAAGCAAAAACCCATTTAGGAATCTTTTAGATATAACAGAATTTCACACTTGACTAGATTGGTGACATGGACAATTATGTGGCGAGGTTTAACTTTTTTTTTAATATTTACCGCCCATCCAACTTTTAACTGCGTTTATTTCGGATGACGACTAAAGGATACAAATTAATTGCATGTCATGTACGGGCTCTCTAGGAAACAAGAAACATAACACTTGATTGATATATAATAGGGTCTGGATGGGGGTTCCTTCATTTCTATATTCTTTATTTCTTGGTGTCATTTTTCTCTATTTTGTATAGTTTTTTGTCCATTTTTCCCTATTCTATATATTTTTTGCCCATTTTACTCTATCCTGTAAACCCCATCTAGACCCTCATATAATGTGTTGATGGCTTTTGAAATTTGTTCTTTTGATTATTCAAGGTTTAGTAACCTTTAAAAGTTAAAAGAAAATCCTTCAACTTTCTGAACAAACATGATGTTACATGTACCATTTGTGATTTATTATGTAAAAAAGCAGTTATTTACCGAGCTAATGTTGCAAGGTCATTTCTTGAGGGTGATGTGGTTAACTCAATGTGAAGTACACTACAAGTAAATTACGTTTAAGTATTTTAATTCAGATTATGTAAATAAATGCAATTAATATCAAATTAACACTCTCTTTTCTCCTGCATTTATATGAAGCATACATAAACAAATAAAACCCTGACAGAAAAAAATGAAATACTATTTGATTTTTATAGATTTTTCAAATTTAATTTGCTCATTTAAAAATGTGTTTGTTACTTTTCTTGTATAATGAAATGGCTTTACAACTGCTAATACTAAAGATCGGCGTACATAATTTTATTTCTGAAAATATAACAACTGTGATTTTAAATCAACGACCTTATATACACCGGCTAATGAACCAAGAGTAACAGTGAAACGTTAATACCCTAAAATTTATAACTATCCGGGGGTGAAAGTATGCAAACTTACTCGTGCATATACATTTCAGTATATGTTTTAAATGCTCTTCAGATTATTTCAGGTCATGTAAGGTCAAAGGAAATATGAAATCATCGGATGAACTCGTGAATATGAATGTATATGCATAAATGAAATAATATAAATATATGAAACAAACATGATTATGATTATGAAATAAATGAATACGAAAAAGATGTAAATACATCATCTGTGACATATCTAACCGATACGTTTCAGGATTATTTTCCCAAACATATTGTAATTTGTAAATAATATTGTTATTACAGGTTTCTATGTTGGAACCAATACTTGTCTCAGGATTGTCCATCCAAGGAGATTTGAAACATTCCCTTTGGGTTACCTCCCTTTACGTAACTTACAGTTTAGATTGTGATATATTTATTCCCTTCACTGATGACCAGTATATGGTAAGTTTTTTCTTAAGATGATTAAAATACAACACATAGTAAATTCAAAATAAAAAAAAAACTGATATGTGTTTTCATGCTGGAGTGATTGAACCAATAATCAATCAATTTATTTCATGTACCATGAAATACTTATATTTCCTTGTTGGCAATTAATTATTAAACACTCAATGAACTCAAGTCGTAAACAGAATTTGATGTTTTAGCCCGTATTGAATAACGTGTATAGTAACTTATGTTTGTATTCAGTACTAGTATTCCACTGTTAAAGTATATCTTGTTCTAATACAATAGGCGACAGAGGACATCTTTGTCGCATGCACAAGATGTTCTTAAAATTTAAGGCGTATTCTCATAATGGGATTTCGTTTTAATGATTACTTCAGTTTTTTGTTGTCATTTTCCTTTACCAATTTGACCAGATAGAAATTTCATATGCTTAAATTCTTACTGCTTTAGATTTGACGTAATTGTTCAAGATCAGTTCTCATGTTTAGAACAAAACCTATAGTTACAGTGTGTCGGATCTCAACTCACTTATGATATTATGGTTACATGTCAGACATAACCAGATTAATAATGTTCCTTGCTTTGATGGGCTTTACCATGTGCCACTTTGGAATCCTTTTACGGACGATGCATGCATAATAGAAGATTCTAAGCATGTATACACCTTTGGTCTCTCTCCATTTGTGTAGTTCAAAATCTAGTATTTGCGTACATGCATGCGTAACAGGAGACGGTTACCATATGGACTCACCTGGTCACAATCTGTTTTAAATTCATTAAATTTCGTTTATTTCTCTCCCAAGTTTGTATGTTTAAATAGATACATGACTTTTAAATCAAGCGCAAGGGTTTGAGTTATCTATTAAATGCTTTTTTCATTGACATTTAAGTAACATCTTGCAAAGAGCTATAACACCTTACAAATATTACTATATTACAAACTTTTTGCATTTTTTCACCAAGGAAAACAAAAAAACGTTCAACCTCGCTTCTATTTCGAATTGTATGGCATAATTTGCTCACACGCATGAATTTCCACTAGATCTAGAGTTAATTCCAAATTCTGATAAGGCTGTTCCGAAGAAAGGGTGGAGCTAACGAAGCGACCGACCTTTTAAATTTATATTGTAAATGGCTGTAAGAATGTGACCCATAAGTAAATCTTTAACGCCCGTACGACGTGTCAGTTAAACAACAGGGCTCAAGTATGTAAATTAGTTTCCATGCTGTTGGTAGCTGGACTGCTTTTTTCTGACAACATGTGGTTTATATAATCAAAGGGGCAGGTTTGTGCGCATGCAGAACTGATTAAGCAGTAATGAAACAATATTTTCAATAATGCTGCTTCAGTATCCTGAATTTATCAGAATATATACATGTACCTGTAATGACATCAGCAGAAATCTTCCTCATGTATCTGCAAGTTTTACTTCACAAATTAACTTGTACTCAATAGTATAATACAAATTTCAGATATTTCCTGGAAATGTTGATGGAAATTCCCTGTCAGTGATATTTTTTGACCGCGTGTTTACTGCAAAATGTATTAGGGTCATACCAGTCACACGTCATGGCGAAACAACAGCTATGCAAATGGAAGTCTATGGGTGTGGTGAGTTTATGTTATAGAACATATTTTATTACCAATTAAGGGCCCACAAGGGGCATATAGAGCATATATAGCATATATATACATGACAAGCCGATGAAATTGCATATTTTTTATATACAAAATATTGTATCAATGTTTTTTAATTAATTTATAAATTTGAAAAGTTGGGTTTTTTTCAATACTAGAACATAGTAATAAAATCCAAAAAAGTCTAGCCATAAAGTAATTTGTTTAGCAGTTTATATCTAACTTATATTATTTTCTGAAAAAAAACGTGAAATTTTAAACGCTTAAGCATTTTAGTATTTAACATACTTATTCTTTAGAAATTCACATTTGCAAATTGAGGATTTCTAAAAGGCCATGGTTCAAATGATAAAGCAAGGTGTGATCGACAGTCTAAAATCAGTAAAACGTTCAAAATCTCAAAATTTCCGCCATAAGTGGAGTTGGACCGGGCCCCTCGGCGTCTTCCTGGACCAGCCCTTTAGACATATGTCTCCTTAAATTTCCAGTTCAAGGAATATCAGTTGCATATCAAGGTAAAGTTTGTTCATTAATCGATGTTAAAGTGTTAGTCGCATACGTTTTGTAATACTTTAATTATATATAATGAAAGAATAAAAAAAATATATGTATTATTTTCAACAGTTGCCAGAACTTGTGCTGAACCACTACATCCATTATGGTATATAAATCGTAGGACAGGTGAATTTGAGACCAAATTCCAATCAGAACAGATCGTCATGGCATTATCTATACTTCCGGGTGTTGTAAATGACCACGGATACATCATATCATACAGCCGAACATGTACAGATTATAAACTAATCGCAGAAAATGGCAGACCAAAAGTAAGGTGCTATGTTTTATTCTGTAGTCTGTATTTTCTCCGATTCAACCTGTCAGACGATGGGTCTTCGAATCAGTGTATTTCCGGTTTTTGATATTGCATTCATTTTATAGCTATGAGATTGTGGTCGTTCGAAGTCTTGATACTGCATATACCATATATGTACTTCCGTTTTTTCTATTCAATTTTTTAACCATGAGATTCAAATAGTCTTAGCCTGCATCTTGTAAATAACACATTTGTACTTCTGGTTTTAACTCTTCGATTCATTTTACTGTCATTAGAGTGTGATAGATCTAATTCTACATCCTGAAACATACATGTATTTTAAGTTGTAAGTCTCAATCTAAGTGGTTTTTATATCTTCCAATCATTTTATGATGAGATTGCAGTAGATCTCCGTCTACATCCTGTATATAATGTATATGTACTTCCGGTTTTAGATATTCCATTCAGTTTATGATCATGACATTGCAGTAGATCTCCGTCTACATCCTGTATATACAGTATATGTACTTCCAGTTTTTGATATTCCATTCAGTTTATGATCATGGCATTGCAGTAGATCTCCGTCTACATCCTGTATATAACGTATATGTACTTCCGGTTTTTGATATTCCATTCAGTTTATGGTCATGAAATTGCAGTATATCTCCGTCTACATCCTGTATATAACGTATATGTACTTCCGGTTTTTGATATTCCATTCAGTTTATGGTCATGAGATTGCAGTATATCTCCGTCTACATCCTGTATATAACGTTTATGTACTTCCGGTTTTAGATATTCTATTCAGTTTATGATCATGACATTGCAGTAGATCTCCGTCTACATCCTGTATATTACGATATGAACTCTTCCGGTTTTAGATATTCCATTCATTTTATTCATCAAATTGTGATAGATATCCGTCTATATTCTGTATATAACATAATTGTACTTCCGGTTTTAGATATTCCATTCATTTTATGGTCATGAGATTGTGGTAGATCTCAGTTTACATCCTGTCAGAGCAATGTGTCTACGAATCAGTGCAGGGAACAGAAACGTTACTGATACAACGGGTTTTCATGTCTACCTCAGTGGATGTCGTAAGTTTATTTATCTTAATTATTTCCATTGAAGGAGACAAAATAAGTCATCAATCATGTTATTCACAAAGTCAACAAAAAATGGAATATATCATTCCGAAACTAAGTACAGCACTTACATTCACTTAACCGGTCTACGTCAGGTACAACACGTTTGAAAGATATAACAATATGGTGATATGATATGACTTCCAATGAGACAATAATAATTCACTAGAGTCTAAATGTCGTGGATGTAATTTATCAATTTATTGATTTATTTATTATTTGATATGTTACAATACATGTATTATTTTTTTTTCAGGCATATTTCATAGAGATGGTAAGTTGTTAGTTTTCACCTTAAACTCTTCCTTTTTTCCCCTTTTTTCTAAAGCTTATAAAGTAAACGGAAATTTCCGACAGTGTTGTGTTATTGTTTTAAACGTTTAATCTTTCAATTCCCAATCATTTTTTCTTGATTGCCTTTAAACTGTCACGTAAACAAAATTTGATTTTTAATTGTTATCTTGTACTGAAAATGAAAGCTAATGAAACGGAAACGATAACACATTACATCAATGTTATACTTGAGATTACCCCCGTTTTTGATTGACTTCGTTTTGCTTAGTCTGTAATTAGAATTTGGAAGATTGTTGTTTGCCTTTTTTGTCATTTTTCATTTTGTTTTGTCATGGTGTTGTGGGTTTCTCGACTTATGAATTTTGATTATCCCTTTGGAAGCCTTTTAAAAAACGACGAAAAGACCAACAATTCCACACCACAATAGACTGAGCAACACGAACCGAACCACAAAAACCTGTGTTGATCTGACGGAGTTGTGGTTTCTACCGTTGTAAAACATCCTTGCTGAACACAGATATTCCACAATGGTGAACCAACTCGTGTTGGCGTCCATAAAACTATCGAAGGGATGACTTCAAATTTACTGCTTGGAACCCTCAGTTCATTAGCTTCTTTGTAAGCAGTAACACTCTCTTTCAAGAGAATCATAATAGAAATCGCCCGCTGAGGAATATCTTATAAACTCTTGAGATATATACTCCATACGCAGGCGGATCTGAAATGTTGTTATATAGAAATGAAAAATTCACAATTGGGAATCTGATTTCGTGTTACGAGCATCCAAAGCAGCAAATGAAGATTTCATAAAATTACTTTCTAAAAATTATCAAGAATGGTTATTTATTCTTCAACACTGTAGCATTTCTCTTGCATGGGTCACAGTTAAGTAAAGAAAATCGGGATGATGTCGTAAAAGAACAAAAAATCTTTGGTATCCATATCTGAACTCTGATAAAGTATTATAACACGTAAATAATTCAAATGGCTTAAATCTTTTCTTAAATTGTTATGATGATATCATAGTGATTAGAAAATCGTTACAATAAAGTTTCCAATAAAACAATTCTGGTGTAGATATTACCAAAGCTCTTTTAACCGACTAAACACATCTGTACAAAGAAACAGATACCCCTAGCATCCCCAGAGTCGAAAAGGGTTAGAAATATTGTCACCTGGACGTCTCCCAGTCGACAGTTAAACCAATGTTAAAGAGACGTGTTCGTTTGGCTGTGCGGGATTTATAAATTCCTAACTCATTTCCTTCCGTTTTTTTCTTAAAATAAGAAGTGTAAATTAGAGGCAACAGTATTGTGTGTACCGGTGTTCAAATCTCATTAATCCATTAAGAATATACACATCAAATTAATTATAAAACTGAGGCAATATGTGTTAGATTTGTGAAAGCTTTATATACATGTATAGGTTTTTAATCAGGTTTTTTTAAACCTTCTGACACCTAAAAAAATAACAAAATTTTAAAAGAAAATAATTATAAGCCAGTAGTTATCGTATACAGGTATGTTAAAATATAAATTTTTTGACAATTGTTAAGGGACTTTCCGTTTTGATTTTTCCTACGAGTTCGGTATTTTTGTTGTTTTACTTTTTTCCATACTGAAAAAGAACCATTCTCTCCAAATACCATGATGGAATGACACTCCGATAAATTCGGATGAATGTGGAATTCCTTTTCCATGTTGCAATGTGTTTAGTATTTTCAAAGGGTAGAGAACTGATAGGTGTACTTATAGACGTAATGTGTTTGGCTTTAAGGCGTTGTCGGATAAGGTAATACATTACCATCGTCTTCTTCCAATGTTCGTTATCATTGTGTTTGTTATTTGTAAAACATTGTAATGTAAAATAGTTATAGATGAAGTTTTTTGTATCTGTTGACAGTTTTAGATATTAATGCCTAGTTGAAACGTTATTTGTGCATAATAAACATAGAGAAAGCCGGACTATTTTATTTATTTTATAAACGGCAGATTATTGGTGATAAAAGTAATCTTTTAATCATAGTATCACTAAACGCTCAATGTACCATTGACTCAGTGTTCTCCCTTAGTATTGATATTTTGTTTAATTTTTACAATAGAACCACTAGACAGATGTGGAACATCTCGCTATCACCACGATATTCGACAGAAACGTGTAATTGGAGGAATCCATTCTGTACCGGGTGAGTGGCCATGGTTGGTGTCGCTACATTTCCTAGGATTTCATTCCTTTTCAAACAAGTCTGGATATCCACATCTGTGTGGGGCCTCTCTGATTCACCCAGAATGGGTCTTGTCAGCAGCACATTGTTTTGAGTAGGTAATTTATCATTGCTTTTGATATTTTTTTTAAATGAAAACAAAACAAGCAAAATCAAGAATATTGAAACTGCTGTTACTGACCATAGACCACAATTAATCTCCCCTATTTGTTCTTTATAGCGTTTTGTCACATTGAAAAAATCCCACCAGCGGTTTCTGTCAAATCTTTGGTGCGTGCAATGTTCAGTACAAGTCCCATGATATATCCATAAATTTGAAAAATTGCACACTGACCCAATTGACAAATTAAGCCAATACACAATTCTACTTGTATAGCCAACAAAAGAGATGTTAGAAAACTGTAAATATTACCTTTTTGCACAAAATCCAATCTTTTCTTTTCTGTTGTTTCTTTCTTTCTACAGTATGGCATGAGAGAAGTAAGTTCATATTTTTAAGTATATTTTAATGACTTTGTTATCTTACATCTCTACAAATGAAAAAAAAAATCATATACATGTATGTCTTTATGAACTTAATCTTTGAATAATATTATATATTTGAAATTAATTTTCGACTCATCAATTTTGTCAGTGAACGTGTAGCACCTGGTTCGTCTAGTCCTCTTAACTGGCAGGTGGTAGTCGGAGAACACAGCCAGACCGGATATGACGGAACAGAACAGATCATACAGATCGATTACATTATCAAGCATAACACATTTAGCATAGACGGTAAGCGAAAACCTTTTTAATGAATTCAACAATAAAACAATATTCACAAAAAATGCAGTAGATAACAAAAAGGACAATAAAAAACCCAAAGTACAAACACACGATACCATGGTCAAAAATAAAAACGATGAACTCCACCAACTGTACGATAAAGTGCGAAGTAAGCTTCATAAGTCAATATAATGGCAATGATGAAATCTCGTCTTAGCCTCTGTTTTCTTTGAACTACTACTTTGCAAATTCGTCCTTAGCAGTTTCGATTCGAGATACATGGTGGTTGGAAATCGTTTATAAAAAGATATTCAGAATAATAGCTGAAACTCCGGATTCGATGTTAAGAGAGTCTCACTTATATGTTTTCATCAAAATCGAATTAATATATCAAAACTATGTACTTTCATAATTGAAAGTAAATTTTTATATTTAAAGGTATTCAATCTATATTTTATTTTAGTGGACAAGCCAATCTTACAAGATATTGCTTTGTTGAAACTAAAATCCCCTGCAATAATGACTGACTATGTGAACATTGTGTGCCTAGATGCGTATGATTCCTTTCCACCAGGAACACCTTGTGTAGCAGCAGGATGGGGACAGAATACTGTTGGTAAGTTGCATATAGTTCTGTTATATTGACAAAATTGTGTCTGCATCCCAAACAGACGTTATTAGTTAACATGACTTTAACTGGAACCCAGCAGCCAAAACTGTGTAAACATACATTTTTACAATTTTTCAATAGAACGAGCAGTGATATTACTAACAGCCTCAGTTGAATTCATGTTACATGTACTTTAAGGTATACGATTTGAAATATTCTTAAACACTAATTACACCTTCAGAAAAGTTAATATATACAAATACACTTCTATAAAATCCGGTAGCAAAGTATGAAGTATCCGGGTTTAAATCTTGAATTATGTTAAACAGTCTTAGTGCAAATATAATAAATGATCCATTAAAGACTTGGTACTGTACTAGTTGCGGCTAGAGAGTCTGTCATTGTCCAAGTACATGTCTTGGAGCTATTTTTATATGTTAAATTATGAGTCCAATATAGTTCTTGATAAATATTTATTATATATAAAGACCTTTTCAGCTTAGTTTTCATCAGGTATACACAAAACAAATTACAAATAAACAGACACAAGATAAAAAAAGATAAGGTAACCTCACCCGGAAAACAATGCAAACACACAAATAAAAATATGTTAGATGTAATGAACTGGTATTTAGCAGTTTTCAATTCCACTTAGTATCTAAGTTCGTTATGTTGAAGTTTTCCTACTGCTGTTTTGAGGACTATTGTTTAACATAAAAGATATAAGTATACTGTGACTGTCTTTCGTTTGTGTTGTTCACACATTGTTGTCAATATAATGGAATTTTATGCGACTGTCATACAAGTGAGAGGATTAGTTAGCTATAAATTCAGGTTTAATCCCCCATTTTCTACATAAGGAAATGCTCGTACCAAGTCAGGAATATGACAGTTGTTTTCCATTCTTTTAATGTGTTTGATTTTGCCATTTGATAAGGGACTTTCCGTTTTGAATTTTCCTTGGAGTTCGGTATTTTTGTTTTTTACGTTTTGTTCAGAAATATTGCAAAAAACAAATGCTCAACCAAAAGTACTATTAAAATGAAGAAATACGTCGTAAAAAGAGGTGAAAGATACCTAAGGAAGATTCCAAACTTATAAGTCGAGTTTAAGTGACAATTCCATTTAAAAAAAAAGGGAAAACGGCGAAAAGACAAACAAGCAAGTTCACAAAACAATACATAAAAAAATACAGACTGAGAAACAAGAACTCCACCAAAGACTGGGGAAATCTCTGGTGTATCAACAGAGTAATCAGATCCTGTTCTATCAGTGACTACCATCGTGTTAGTCTTATAAGTACGTTGATAAGTTGAGATACGTATATGTATTCATTTCAATAAAAAAGGGACACAATAATGAATAAAAGCAAAACAAAACCTTGAATCATCGAAATAGTCTTTGTTATCATAAAAGTTCAAAACATTTCCATATGTAATTGTACAACGATCTGATATATGGAAATCCGGTACAGATTTCAATGCTAAGATCAAATGTTCACCAGACACAATTGTGCAGTAAAACAAAAACATTTAATATCCTTTTCAGTTGGCAAAGGGGTCAAGCTCCCACTTCATGCAAGAATTCCAATTTTACCACCTGACGAATGTCATCGCAGATACAACTCACTTCCAGATGGTCATATGGCTAAGTCTGCAGTGTCTATAGAAACATCTGTTATTTGTGCCACTGCAGACGGCGATGGAAACGATTCCTGTTGGGTGAGAAAGTTTTAATGTTATTGATATATTTCAATAAACAAACATACGATACATATTACAGTTCACAAGACATATGTGCCGTTCAGGGCGCTTGGAGAAGGCCGTAAAAAGGACGTTTAACAAATAAAGTTTAAATTTGAAGGTGTACTGTTTCAAATTTTTGTAAATGCATTACCTTTCAAATTTGAAATACGAATTGAATAAATTACCCTCTATTTAACCAAGAATTCAATAGCAAGCTATGTAAACAATAACAACACGTTAACAAATCGAAATAGTTAGTAAGTTAGTAAGTAAGTAAGTAAGAAATGACTTTATTTAAGGAGGGTGACTCAATTAGCATTCACTAATCTACCTTGAGGCCCTCACTAAGAACAAACAGTACAAATATTACAAAGCTTACAATTTCGAACATATTATGTAGATGCAATATTCATGCTAACTATACATTGTCTGTAGAACAAGAGAAAATTAAATTCATATATATACAAAATAATACAAAATCATTAAAATATATGAGTGAGTTGTTATAAATGATTTACAGTCAAGAAATCTATACATTTTTTGTTTAAAAGTGCCCAGATTTTCACAACATTTTATTTCATTTGTTAGTTTATTCCAAAGTATTGAGGAGCTATATGCGAAAGATTTCTTAATTGAATTTGTGTTCGGTCGCACAACAGCTAAATTATTATTTGCAGATGACCGTAGATTTCTACTATGTAGGTCAACAATATGACAACAGAGTTCCTTTAAGTAATCAGGTGCTTTATCGTTGAGAATTTTATGAATAAGAATAAGTTTATGATATATGACATTCTAGATTTGAAATTTAACCATTTTAGCTCTTTAGATAAATTTATACTAGGTGTTAGTATTGGTGCATCAAGTATAATCCTTGCAGCTCTTTCCTGCATTTTAAGAATTTTTGATATCCATCTTCATAACAATTTCCCCATACTGAGCAACAAAAATCAAATATGGGCAGAATATAAGCATTATAAAACAGCTTTCTACTACTAATATCCAAAAATTTCTTAATTCTAGATAGCAGTGCGATACGAGAACTTACGTTTTTACATACATAGTCAATTTGAAATTTCCAGTCCCAATTTTAGTCAATATATACACCCAAAAGTTTCTGTAAGCGTGTTATGCATCCATCACCCCTGGTGTATATCCACAAGCCCGTCTTCTTTTTGTTGTTTATGACTCTACCAGATACGATTAATCATTAGGATCACACATTTATCTGTAAACATCTTTTAATTGTTAATGTACTGATTATGTATATTGGAACTGTCAACTGGAATTGTTCTTATTTTAAAGGGGGATTCAGGAGGACCATTAGTCTGTAGGTCGGGAGACCAGTGGGTACAAGTTGGCATTGTATCATTTGGATATGACTGTGGTAATTCTCAGTATCCAGGTATCTACACAAAGATACATCATTATATCGACTGGATAACAAGGACAATTCGTGATCACTCGGACACTAATGTCTCGTACATGTGGCTCAATCGTAACAGAACTATGCCTTCAATTTTCTGATTATGACTTCAGGTTTAGTTTGTTTTGATTGTATTATTTATCGCCTATTTGAAATATATTTACTTTAACATCAACTAATCAAACATGTAGCTGTCAATACGGGTTATATTTTATGTCCTTCCATCACTGTTAAGAACCGTTATACCAAAGATTTACATAATTCATATTGCTTTGATATTTTTATTTATTGAAATAGATTCTGACTTTAATGTTTCTTGAAATAGTAATTTTTTCACATGCTGATATTTTATTACTCCTGTGCATGATGAAACAATTTCACTTATACTTTGATCAATATACATCCAGATCATCTACATTTTAAATCAGATTTCTTTTCTCAGTTGTTGTATATTGCCTTAAGTTTGTTGTCTTCCCCCCCGTTTTCAATATTAATATAATTATCGTTTTTTTGATAACGCATTAACATTTTTCAAAAAATTAAATGTTTGATTGATCTTCTATCATTTTATATATTTACAATCAAGATCATAGAGATAAAAACAACAATATCTCATCAATTTTTGTCAAATCATGCCTGAATTCATAATATTTTGACCGTTGTCACATACTATAGAATATTCAATATTTAAATTTTGTGAATAAAAATTAAAACACTTGATCATCATCAGACAACCAGGAAACAGATGTGATCGAGATCACACCATAAAAGTTTAATATTGATTCTTATATGTTAATAATTACACAGCAGACCGTGGTTATGTAAAATAGAAAATTAAGACTATTTTAAATTCACAAAAAATCCCCGAATTATTTTGAGTGTTAAAACATAATTTTATTTTAAGTGTTAAAACTTAATTTTACTTTCAGTGTTAAAACATAATTTTATTTTGAGTGTTAAAACATAATTTTATTTTCAGTGTTAAAACATAATTTTATTTTCAGTGTTAAAGCATAATTTTCCAAAACAAATGAGCATTATTTGTAAAAATTGACATGAAAAGGATAAAATTGAAAATGTTATTACTTAAAACCTGACTTGTGAGTTGCAAGTCACCATTAACAAGTAATATTAAACACCCTTTCCACCGAAATTCATTATTTCATATGCCAAATGGTAAGCGAATCTTTTATTTAAAACAACCTGACAATATAGTTATATATTTAGTAATCATTCGTTTAAATATCTAAACTATGAAACTGTTAAATTTTCAAAACAAAAACCGACTGATTGTGAGGTTTTGAAAAAGATGTATATTTTACAAAACATCAAGGCACATACAAGTGACCAACATTAATAGATCAATCAACACAGTAGCAAAGGTTATAATTCTTGGTTAGTCAAGTCAAGTCAATCTATCGGTATCATTATTTGCTGTTGCCGTGTAAACGCCTTCATGTTTTGTCTTATCAACTTCAAATTTTAACTCTTATTAAGACCATGTATCTGGTTGATATCATTTATGATAATTTAAAGAAAAGCACGCATGTATAGTGGTTAATGTTATCATTCGTATTGTAATGTATTTGATATGTATAATTTATTTACAAAAGTTTTAGACTATAAATGATTTAGACCGTGACATGTTGTCTAGATACCCGATTATTGTTGAAGACTGTTAGTTGTCCTATAGATGTTGCTTCATTATGTGTGTTGTTGTGTTTCTTTCTCATTATTCATGAGAAGTTAACAATAAAGCTTTATTAACTATTCTTCACCTTGCTCGTCCTTTTGTAACTAAATTTGTAATGCTAAAAACCGAGCAGGGTATAAGTAGGAATTGTTACCCTTGTAAAAAATCTTATAAGACCATCGGACTATATTTGGTTTGTGCCACTTTATATTTTGTCTTATCAAAATGTTGATGGTAAATTGTCTTTTCATTCTTGATCATGTGTTGCTGATTTTACAAACAGTTCAGTAACTACCAACTTATCTAACTAAAGCAAATTAAAAGTTAAATCTACAACCTGAGTCAAGATTCGTGGAAATAGCTAATAAATTGTATTCTCATAAATCAATTATTCTTATAGATTTATTATTACGTTTTTGACAATGGGACGACTTTTATGATATATTTATGTATAATTTATTTCTCCGATTGTTTAAATGAAAAAAGAATGCGGTAGCAATTGTCTTATAAACAGCTGATGTATTGATTAAACTTTCCGAATGGTTGATCTTGGAAATGAACATTTGATGTTACTTTTAAAAATCAACGGTTTGACGGACGCCATTATGATTTGGTGGACCGTTATGTAATAGCTATGTTACATGTGACCACGTATATGTTCCCATTGTCGTTGCAAAAAATATACGTTCTGTCTTCTTCGATTAAGTCATCAGTAAATAATGTTTCAACACATTTCTGCATGCTAAGATCAACACAACTGGTGCCAATGTAAAGCACTTTCTGCCTACTCTTTCGATACAATGAGAATATCCGCGGATTTATGGTGGAGTTTGTGTTGCTAAGTCTTAAGTTCTTTATGTATAATTGTGTGAACTGTTGTTTGTTTTTTCTGTCATTCTTCTTTTTTTATTGCGATGGTGTTTTTGTTTATTTGTTGACTTGTATTGCTGGATCTTTAGTTCCCTGTGTAGTGTTTTGTGAAACTTTTTTTCTTGGTCAATTACTGTCGGCTCTCATTTATAGATTAAGGAAATGGTGTTTAATTGTTAATACAGTTTTCCCTATGGCCTTGAGCAGATACCAACAAAAAATGTTACGCAACTGAGTAAGGGTCTTTAGAAACAAATTTGAGCAAAATAGAAATAAGCAAGTGATGTGATTTTATTTAGAAGAGAGGCGAAAAGTACCAAAGGATAATCAAACTCACAATTCGAATTGAACTGAAAATGCCATGGCAAAATTACGAAAAACGACTAAAAAATAAAGGCGATAGTCATAATTCGATTAAGCAAAAACAAATCCGGGTAGCAAACTAAAACCGAGGGAAACACATCAACTATAAGAGAAAAACAACGGAACAACAGAAACACTGAACTACAACAAAAGCAAACGCCAACATACATAGAAACGGACTGTCTGAAACAACTGCCATATTCCTGACTTGGAACAGGACATTTTAAGAAAAAATGGTGGGTTGAACCTGGTTTAATGGCTAGCCAAACCTCCCGCTTACATGGCAATAATAAAAATACCGCTAAAATGACAACATTTCGTGACAGGAATACAGTACAAACAAACGCAAGAACATTCAGCACAGAGAAATACATAAATAAATAATATAGTAGTACATTACAACATGTAAACCGTAGAATAACACCTCCCATGAATTTACGACAGCACACCAGGACTCTACAAACGAAATATAAACTGCGCGTCACATGAATGGATCAACGTCACAAAAAGTGACGCATTTTTTGTGACGTTTATATTATCAGAGGTAAATTTCGAAAAAAAAAATAGACTGAGCAACACAAACCCCACCAAAAATTGGGTATGACCTCATGTGTTGTGGAAGGGTAAGAAGATCCTGCTCGACATATTGCACCCGTTTTGTGGCTCATATAAGTACAAGCCCGGTGAAAAATCTAATTCGGTACGTCACATTTCGAGGCAAAAGAAGGACGGGATTGTGGCTACGACGAGAAACACATTCGTCAACATCCGTAAAACAGATATTCTATAACGGGCAAACACGCGTGATGGCGTCCGGAAAAAGTACAAGGAGATGATTTAAACTTCACCACTTGGAACTCTTGTATACAAAGCTTTTTGATAGGCATCTACACCCAATCAGGAAATCATGATAGGACCTGCAAGCCCTGGAATATCGTATCAATAAACTCATCATAGATACCAAGATTAAAATTGTATACGCTAGACGCTCTTTTCGTCTACAAAAGACTCATCAGCGACACTCAAATAAAAAAAAATTAAAAGGCCTAAGTTGAAGAGCATTGAGGACTGGAATTTATATACTCCTTATATAGGTTCAACATAATCACTAAACTTTTAATTATTTAGTGAGAAGAACTGATCTATTTAGCGGACTATGAAGTTAAAGGATACTGATAACTCCTTTTAATTCTCACGAAGAAGCTCCCGTATGAAGTATGCCTCTTATGGAAAAAGGAACAAGTAGTCTAAAAGAGGATCACTGTTGATTCCCATGGGAATGTCGATTATCTTGATTATGTCAGTTTTAGAGATTTTTTTCGTTTGAATCAGAGTGGCTTTTAACAAAATACGATGTATCCCCCCCCCCCCCCCCCCCAAATAACAACAAGCAAGACACTTGTAACTATGTTGGCCGTTCTTTTTTTTAAACAAAGCAGAACCAATTCTTCTAACTTGTCATTTAGTTTCGAATTAGGAATACGTGTGTTATGAGTAGATAAGTCGAATGTTTTAATAATATTGCAAGAGGAAAGAGACTTAGATTGATTGTATGAACTCTACAGTTTTTGGATGGTTTTTTTTTTGTATTCATTAAACCAGGTTTAATCCACCAGTTTTTACATAAGAAAATGCCTGTACCAAGTCAGGAATATGACAGTTGTTATCCATTCGTTTGATGTGTTTGAGCTTTTGATTTCGCCATTTGATTAGGGACTTTCCGATTTGAATTTTCCTCGGAGTTAGGTATTTTTGTTAATTTACTTTTTTCTGATTCACATCGCCTCTATAGTAGGTAGTAACACAATAACTATGACACCCAGGTTTGATTGCTGATAATAATTGATATTCATTGATAAGAGGTTTCGTGGAGCACCTGGACCAGCAATATAACGTTGTTTGCAGGGAAACTTTTAAAATGTCAAAACTACATCAATTTTTCTGTTACTATGAAAGAATTCGTCAAAGAGAAATTATTTCATGATTTTAGATACTAGTATTAGAATATAGATAAAATTATTGTATAAATATTTCTATAAAATATTTTGTTTTAACAATTAAAGAAATTGAAAAAATAGACTAATGAATTGAAACCACTTCTTAAATTTGATTCATTCAAAGCGGTTTTTTTGGACTTACCCGTCATCGGGAGCGCTCAAATTTAAAACATTTTAAAACCTAGAATTCACAAATACTTAAAATTGAGAGTGAAAACGAGGAATGTGTCAAAGAGACAACAATCCGACCAAAGAGCAGAAAACAGCCCATGGCCACCAACGGGTCTTCAACACAGCGATAAAATCCCGCACCTGGAGGTAGCCTTCAGCTGGCCCCTACATAAGATGTGTACTAGTTCAGAGAAAATGGACGTCACACTAAACTCCGAAACGTGTAGATGAACCAAAATTAACAAAAAACATACAATACTTACAAAGACCAGAGGTTCCTGATTTGGGACAGGCGCAAAAATGCGGCAGGGTTAAACATGTTTTGTGAGATCTCAACCCTCCTCCTATACCTCAAGCCAATGTAGAATAAACAAACACATATCAATACGCACAGTAAAACTCAGTTTAAAGGCATTCCGAGTCCGATGTTAGAATAAGAAGCAGAAGAAACTAAGCAAAATGACAATGATAACATAAATTAACAAAGGATTACTGACATGCCAGCTCTAGACCTCAATTAAACTGATTGAAAGATTATGTTTCATCATATGAAAATCAAGCACAACCTCTCCCGTTAGGGGTTTAGTATCATACCATCATAAAATATATAAGAAGAACATAACCCGTGTCATGCCAACAATGAGTAGCTCTAGGACTGGAAAGGATTTAAACTGAATAACAAAATCCACTTAAGGTCAGCTTTGCTTGAGGGTTTTGAAATCCTAGTAGGTAATGGTTCAATGCGTATACCATTATTGAAATAAATAAGTCTTATTCTAAAAACTATTATATTCATTATAATGTATTAAGCTGCATATTGCATGAGATAAATCGTTTGGTTACACCTTAAAACAATTCATGAATTCATCCACTGTCACAGTGTTTGCATATCAATATCAAATTAATGAAACTATTTTATTTATATGAGAAGTCCTAGAACATTAGAGGTCAGTTTTGTATACAAACATCATAAAGAAGGTTCATATTTGTTTTCACATTTTAAAATATATCCCTCCTTTCGACGGTTGAATGTCCACTGGACGTTTAGCATTCATGTATTTACTAATACCTCATGGAGTTCCATTGGGAATATATGAAGACGTTACTAGAGTTCTTTACTCTTTAAAAGTTTTCTTTTCCGCATTTAATATAATACTACTTATTTACTGTACGTTACAAAAAATATATCTCCTGCATAACATTAATCACTTCAACGACTCACTACAACCGTTAATTATTTCTGAAAAGACAAAAACACCTTGAATTGTTTTTTTTTTTTATGGCAAATCATTGAAAAATACTTTTCTTCTGTATTTAATTATAAAGCATTTCCTAGAATTAATACCGAATGCAGATTCATGCAAATTTTCTTTTTACGGAGAGACATAAATGAGGAAATCAGACAATGGAATGCTGATGTTTATATATGCATAAATACATTGATGTATATTTGATTATCGGGATTGTTTAAATGAAAAAGAATGCGGTAGCAATTGTCTAATACACAGCTGATGTATTAATTAACCTTTCTCAACTGTTTGTGTAGTTCACCAACATAGGATGTAACTTTAAAGAAATAACATCTAAATGCGCAGTAGTTCTTTGAGTCAAAATATTCTTATTCATTTTAAACTTTATAAGTTAAAGCCATCTCTTCGAAAGTTTTGCGGACAAGATCATGATAATGAGTCATAGCTTTGTTACTGATGACCAATGATGTGTTCCATTTTTTGCAGATATGTTCCATTTATCGCATAGATCTTCCATTTGTCATGGATATGTTCAATTTGTCGAAGTCAAAATGTCATTCTCCTTTTACGACATGGTTGAATGCGAATTTTCACCAGATGGTCATGAGCAACACGAGTGACACTAATGAAGCAAGCACCGATAACTCTTCAGGAACGACTAAGTTCAAGCAGGATTTTGGTGCGTTTACGATGCTGAATAGTCTTTCAATTGCTGTGTAGTGTTTTGAGGAACTTTGTGTTTTTTCGTTTGGTCAATGTGTTTCTGTCTCTTTATTATTTATTGGTTTATTGGTTGGTATGTTCCAAATAAATTTGCGAGTAAAGAACATAAGTACTTGCTGTTGTCACTTCTTTCTATATAGAATAGATGGTGTTTGATGGTCAATACAAGTTACCCTATGACATTCAACAAGGACCA